GCCCCTCTGTTCTGTAATTAATGTCATTACGTAGCACCAACACTCACCGGGAGAGCGGCAGATTTCCTGGCTGGCAGCCAGCGCCCCTGTGCAATACAATATAAATTCCTGTCAGTAGTCAGGAGCTTGCAAGAGCCACACACATTTAAAATAAATGGCACTGTTGCCATCATGGCAATTAGCACATGAGGCGCCCTCCCAGTCTCACGCTGCTAGGCATCTATGGTGCAAATCCCATCCCCAGGCTGGTTTCCTCCACTACATATTTTTCAGTCCTCTGTCAGTTCTGCCATGTTCCTAGTCAAGCAACTGCATGTCTCCTCTCAGATCAACAGCCCTGCCCCAGTTCCTGCCTTTATTCACCATCCTCAGGCTTGCCCACTGGTCTGGGTGCTCTTTGCAGTAGGAGAGTCTGTTTGGTCTGGATTTGTACAGTGCCTTGCGCAATGGATAGCAGAGCCATGATTTGGGCTTATAGGAGCTACATTAATACACCTAATAGATAATTCTACAGTACCCTGAACAATGGGGAACTTGGCCATGATCGGAACATTTGAGCATTACCATAATATACCTAATAATAATCTGCATAAACAGTTTTACCTCAGAATACATTCCTATAATTCTGTCTCTGTACAATGAACTAATTTGGTTGTTAATAGTTGCCTTCTGCACATAGTAATCTCCCTTCAGGATGCTTCTAATGTTCCATGCTGTCCCTTTCTTCCTTTTCCTGAATTGGGAATCAGATAAACTGGGCATTTAAAATTCCCCTGACAAAATTCAGTGTTGGGTTCAGAAACCAGGCTAAGGCTGCTATCCCACAAATAACTGGGGTTAGCTATTCTTTGTGTCCTCTTGCAGCACTTCTGGATGGTTGTTGCTGTGTGACTTTGCTGTATCCCACAGCTCTAAATTCCTGGTGGCTGTCTCTTGTCTAAATGGAGAAAATTTAAATATATAAAAAATTACTATTAGCAGCCCCCAGTTCAGCTGAATGGATGTTGTTAGCACTAGTCCAGACCTGGGTCTTATGATTGGGGCCATATTGAGCCTTGTTTTGTGGAGGTTAACTTTTTGTTTAATTAACATGGTGATGAAAAGGGTTCCAGCTATGGAAGCTTTATCTACAATAGAATTCTTAATGGTGTTAATGCACTAACAGGACATTGGGAGACATTTCTGTGTTACAGTATTCAGTTCAGAGGCAAACAATTACATATATACATGGAGTGCACCCTCCTGATGATTTTAATTTAAAAAAACCAAATAATGTAGCAGCACCTTAAAGACTAACAAAACATGTAGATGGCATCATGAGCTTTCGCGGGTAAAACCTACTTCTTCAGATGACCGGTGTGTTGGAAGTCCAGATCCAAGAATAAATAGGGGATGGGGGTGGAGGGGGGAGAGGGGGGGAGGGGAAAAAGGTGAATTAAGATGTTGCTAGACTATTAATTGTTTTTCAAGTTTTTCCAGTTACAGGCTAACTCGACTACCCCTCTGAAGATTTTAATTTAATTCTTTGTTGCTTTGCTGTCCTTCTCATAGGTTATGTTTTCACTGAACACAAAGTATTTCGATATCAAGTTAGCAAACTTGGCATAAAATCCTGCTGGAGACAGGACATCTCCAATTTTTATTGTGATATAGCAATGCAACTTCAGCCCCATCTTGGGGTGGGTGGAGGGATTAGATTCCCATTCACTTGAAATTCTAAGGTAACACCTATCTGTGACTTCTCTCCATGAGCACTGTTCAGGGAGACATCCCCCTTGATGTACAACCCCCCCTCTTTTTGCCATGAAAATGTAGCTTAAATATAAAAGGTCATTCCAGCTGCCAGCATAATATACGTGAGCAAAACCCAAAGACAGTTAACATTACAATAAATGTCCTTCTTTTAGCACTGTATGTGACATTATTAGATCTTTACATTAAATTCTGTAACTCATAGATGAGTAAACTTTAGGTATATTTTAGGAGGTTTGAAAATGTCTTGGTTGGAATTTTCTTTCTTGTGAGGTTTGTCTTAACTGATCTTGACTTTACCGAAAGGCTAGATTTGGGGTGATATGCACATGGAAGTTTATTGAAGGATGTACCAGTCAAACAGCACTCAAAAGTAGAAAACTCCATTGGTAGCAAATTAGAGATTAAAATACACTCTCAGATTTATCAGGAGAGTCCACTATAGACCAAAGCACAGCACTAAAAATTAATATAAAATTAATTAAATTAATTGAATCAATTATAAAATTAATTAATGTAAAATTAATATAAAAAAGCAAATTCTGCATAAATCTTGCTGTTATGGTGAGTTAATGTTAAAGGTCACGTACATGGATCACCCGGCTGCAAAGGAACATATTTCACTGCATTTGCTTCTGATACAAAACATGCGGAAGCAATGTGAGCTGGATAAAGAGCTGAAATCATTTCACAGCTGCTAAATGAGAAGGAAATACCAGGCTGTCCACTATGGGGCACCGTTAAGATGCTCCTGAACATAGCACCTTTGCTGTGCCTGGCACACACTTCACAGATTCACGGAATCCAAGATCAAAGGGCCCCTTGTGATCAGCTCAAACTTCCAATCAATAATCCTGGGGGAACAGATCTGCTAGAAAGACACCCAAGGTTGATTTATAACCTGTTAGAGCTGGCAAAAAAGCCGTCTTTGAAAATCCCTCCTAGGAACCGCTCAGCACATCCTACAGACTTAGCCCTAATTCAGGGGCTCTTTAGCTGTTCTCATTCCCCCTGAATGACAAGCTAAACCCAGCCCGTTGTGTCCATACTCACAGAGCAGCCAGAGTCCCAGCGGCAGGACCATTGGGAGAAGTGGGGAGGATCCTGGTGCTCCCTCAGGGAGTCGGCAGCAGGGAAGGCCTGTCTCTGTCTGCTCCTCAGTGTCTCAGGGAGAGCCTCTGTGTGGCTGCCTGACCTGACTTCTCCCCCTTCTGATCTGCAGGGAGCAGGGAACAGGGAAGTTGCAGGTGCTCTCTGCTCTGCCACGTGCTCCCCGAGGTTAGAGAAACGAAAAGCCACAGGCCCTCTGAGAGACGGGGCCCTGTCTGCTACTGACCTCATGAGTGGGGAGACCTTGCTCACTGGTGGGAGGGGGACGCTGCTCTCTCAGTTGTCCTGTGAGAGGCCTTATGCTGAACATGATGGTTTTATTGTGGAAATCAAACCTGGGCCAAGAGGCACACAGGAGAGGAACGGCAGCTTGGAGGGAGCCTCTTCAGCTTTCAAATTCTCTCCTTAAAGCTGAATTTGGCTCCTTCTTTAACATCTACGAAAGGTCAGAAAGGCCTGAAAATAAGTGAGTCTGGCTGGGGATTTGGGGAGCATTTGTGAGGAAAATGGGAAGTTAATTTAACAAGCCGTGACTCAGAGAGCACCAGCTCCACTGCTGCAAAGTCCTTCTAGCATCAGCCTGACGGGGAATGTCGAACCCTTGAGGCTAGAGAGGGTGAGAACTTCCAGTGAGGTCGGGGCCAGGCTCCCCTTGGCAGCGGTCAGTTCAGACCTCCTTTTGTAACCAGAGCATGTAGTGGGCTGATTGATGCTTCTCCTCCAGTGAGGTCTCACTTGTGATTAAGTGCCCAGCCCATTATTGGCGTTTCATGGTGGGTTTCCCATCTCCCTACCATCAGGACGTCCCTTATCCTGCCGTCCTGGTGCCTGATTTGGGTCCATCCCAGGGGCAGCTGGTGCTGGCTGCTAGGGGTAAAGGAGTAGCCTGGCATTCAAGCCTATAACTCTGTGCTGCCCAGGGAGAGGTGCTATACCCTAGGCCACTCCAGAATCCCCCTCCAGCCCTTCCTTCAGGACGTCCCTTATCCTGCCTTCCTAATATGGGAGCCAGGTCCGTTCCTGGGGCACCCAGGCTGCCCCCGGGATAAAGGTGGCTCCTGCAAGTGGAAGGCGGGATAAGGGACATCCTGAAGATAAGGTGGTGGGGTGGTTCTCCTGTGGACGTAGGGGATAGGGCCTTTGCCTGGGGTGGGGTTCAAGTCCCACCCCCCTGGAAGTGGCAGGACACCTGTGCCTTGCAGTGTGTCATATCCAGCAAAATGCAGCTCTGTGACTCCCTGGAAAGGTAGGATTCCAGCCCTCGCCCGCACACCGCACCTGGCTCCTCAGGTCTGGGTTTCAGAGATCTCAGTTTGGCAGGTCTTAGCGTGCCGGACAGGCGCGAGGTACCACAGGGCAGCCCAACCTCAGAGCTGATTAAACGGTTTGTCCCCGGTTTGTGTGTGTGTGAGAGAGAGACTGCGATCGGGGCGTCCACGCACATCCCTGGCCAGGAGTTATACATGGGCCTGGGTGGTGAGGGATGCTCAGTTTCAGGTTCTGGGGTGGTGACTGCCTCATCCATCGCCTCTGGGCCCTTTCCCACCCTTCCCAGTCCCACTCCAAGCTGGTCCCACCTTGCCCATATCCTTCCCCATTGGCCTATCGCCTCACCACTATAGATGTGGACTCCAGACACCCCTTGTGGAGCACTGAGAACCGCATCTGTAGGTGAAGCTCAGAGGGGTTCTCCAGACTGTTCCTTGCACCGGGCGCTTCCCAGCAGGGCTGAGCAGAAGCGGTTGGTGCCTGTACCTTTCCCAGGCACATCTCTCCTAGCCTGACCCCTACTCTGATGGCACAGGGGGGACACATGACCCTGCTTGGCCCCCTGCATTGCCTCTGTCCCTGGTTGGCTCAGGCTGTGATGTTCACCACCCTGCATCCGTGTGTCCCCGTGGCTGCCATGGGGATGGGAAATGCTGCCTCAACCAGCTTTGTTTTACGCCAGACTTTCTCCAGGTGCCCAGCAGAGGGGGGGGTAACAGGCATGTGAGTTACCAAGACGCCCGGAACCGTTAGCGACGTCCCAGGAGACAGGCTGGGCAGAGAGGTGGAAAAGCATTTTATTACCCGCACAGGAGCCAGCTCAGACCCGCCTGCCAAAGACCCCTTGGGGCCAGGTGTATAAGGGACTTAGGCACCTCACTCTCACTAATATTCAAGGGAGTTAGGCTCTTCAATGGCTCCAAAAATCTGCCCCCTGTCCACGCTTAGAGACCCCGGCACATCCCCCCAAGGCAGCGTTACAATGTGTCACTGGAGCAGACATGCCCACGCAGGCACCCCCACACTGCCCTGCTCCCCAGCCTCGCCGTCAGAGAGATTTGGCTGCGTGTCTGCTTCCTAGACACTCACATGCAGGAGCTGTTTGGAGGCACCTTGGAGCCCCTTTTCCCATGTTTTTGTGTGATTCCCACAAACACACTTCTGGGTGTGTTGTACTGGCCCATCTGCAGAGAGACTGGTGAGGCTGCCTTACAGCCTTAGTGAGCAGCGAGATCACACAGAGGCTCGTGCTCTCAGTTCGGGAGGTCCCAGGTTTGATTCCAGCTGCAGCTGACCAGGGTGCATCCAGGTCACATTAGCATGTCCTGTGCCGGGCTGTACATGTCAGGCGGCTGCTGTGCAATGGCTTGTGGCCGCCGGCCCCTCTACGTGCACAGTTGTACAAGGACTTTATGGCCGGCCTCTGAGGTGGAAACGTTGGCCAGGAAGGTTCTGCTGGAACTAGAGCAACGGGCTGTGACAGGAGACCCGGCCTGGGCCACCGCTGGCTCCCACTGCCCACGAGGAGTCTGAGCCTCCCCTGCTCCATCGACTTGCCACAGGCTGCTTCTCGCTGGGCCTGGGAGTCCTATGGGGAAGGAGGAGGGAATCTCAGAGACTGGCGCTCATGCCACTTTCACCACCCTCTCCTAGTCATGCCCTGAGCATGGGGCAGAGGCTCACAGCCCTGGGTGTCCAGTGTTACCAGCCTGCCCCATATCTGCAGAGAGAACAGGGGCAGTTCTCTGCCTCTGAGCCCCCCTGCTCAGACGTTGCTGAATCCCCTCAGTCCAGGTCCCGGTCGCTGGGGTTATAAAATGCTGCAGCAGGGCCGTGGGCAGAGAACTCCCTGGTGGGGAGATGGAGGCTCTGGACTGGCAGGTAGGTTGGGTTGCATCCTTCCCCCACCGACCAGTCCCTGCACTGGCTTTGTGGGGGAACAACCCCCATCCCACACGGGAGCGTTGCCCTTACCCAGCGCTATGGAGCCAGCCGGGTGTCCTGTGCTCTAGAGGTGCCCTTTCCTACGGCCGCGTAGGTCACGGTCTCGTTCCTGTCCACCTTGGTCTGCTGGGACATCGATACAACACGGCCAGGGTTAGAGCCCTGCTGAGCCAGCCGGGAAATCCGCTCCCCCCGATCTCTCAGACAGGCCGGCCAGGGATCCTGGTTCATGGATTCCAAGCCCAGACAGGACCAGTGTGACCCCCTTGTCTGATCCCCGTGTGACACGGGCCGGAGACGTCTTCACAGCAACTCCTGGGTTACAAACTGTCAGGACGTGTCTCCTGGGGAGCACCAGGGTAGGGCCTTGAAGGGGCCCTGGCACACTGGGCTCTACCTTTGAGCTGGGACATGGCCATGGGAAGGGGAAACACAGCCGCTCCTTACAGCCAGGCAGGGGAGCGTCATGCACAGGAGGGTGCTGGGACCCAGGTCCTGCATGCCAGGATGGTCCCTGTCTATCCCCTGGGGCAGAGATGCCCACACTGTGACTCTCACTCCTGACCAGGCTGGAGGAGCTGGTGCTGGGATCAGCCCGGGGGATCCCAGCGTTTAGCTCTATCTCCGGCTGCCCGTTTCCATGGGAACGCTCTGCCCACACCCGGCACGCCAGGCCCTGTCCGCACAGTGGGCTCCAGCTGAGCGACTCACCATGTCGACGCGGGCTCTGGTGACCTCAGCATCTGGGGAGAGAAAACCAAGGTCAGTGCATCCTCGCTGGCCAGCCTGCACCTGGAGAGACCCTGCCCCATGTCCGCCAGGAGCACAGATCCAACCCAGGGCCCAGCCAGGACTCCGGCGAGAGAGAGAGAGCTGGGCTATGCCTGGCCAGTGTGAGCCCTAGCAGGCTGGCTCGGCTGATGGTGCTGGGTGCCCGGCCTGATGTGTATGAGAACTGGGATGGGACCCCAGGGAAGCTGGGGTCTTGTGGCTGAAGTGGTGATGCTCTGTCTGTTCCTAGCATGTCTCCTTTATCCTGCGTAAGAGAGGGTACCTTATCCACAGCCCCACTGCAGGAGCCACCTGATATCCCTAGTGCTCCCTTATCCCTCCTGCCTTTCAAGTGCTTTCCCTAGGGCAGGTGGAGGTGGGGGTGGGGCTTGAGCCCTCAGTCTCTGTCTGGGTCCTGGGGCAGGTACATTATCCACTGTGCCACTGGAGGAGCCCCCCAGCCTCCCTACCTTTAGGGGTCCCCTTATCCTTCCTGCCTTCCAAGGGTGCCAGCTCCATCCCCCAGGAGGCTGGGCCCTTAGAAGGTAGGACCCCTTGTTCAGACCCCTGCCCCCACCCCTCTGTATGCAGCACACAGATCTGCCAGGGCTGCCTCTCCTGCCTGTGGCCAGTGTTTCCAAGACTGCGTCATTGGGATGGTCAGAGGCTGGGGCAGCAGGGAGAAGAGACCCTGCCAGGGCAGGACTCTCTGATCTGGCTGCCCAGGGTCCGTTGTGTGTGCAACACCCAGGACTCTGACCCCCACCAACAGACGGACAAACAGCCGAGCCCCCGCGGGGTGGTGCTGGAACAACAGGCTCTTACACTGGATCTGATCTTCCGAGGCCGGGCTGCTCTGGTCTGGGCCGGGATCCCTGTGTGGAATGAGAATGTGTCAGTCCCACATGCAGCATCTGGCGCCGGGGCCCTGCTGCCCTTACCCACAAGGGCAACAGCACCACTGCCATCACCAGGGTGAGGGAGATAGGGTCAGGCCCCTGCAGAACCCCAGGTCATTTGCATTGTGGGTAGTGAGGGGTCAGCTCCCCTGGGTAGAGCCCCACACAGCTCCCCTGGGTAGAGCCCCACATAGCGCCCCGTCCCAGACCTGGGCATTACTTGTGGAGCAGCCCCAGAAGGAATTGAGGGTCCTACCTTTTTGTCCTGCAGCGTGACAAAACTGTGGAGAGAAAGAGCGTTAGGGAAATTCAGTTCATGTCATATCCAGGTCTAACTACCCACAAAGCCCTGCAGCCCTGGCTCCACAGAGTGATGCTCCAAAACAGCTGCTCATGTTCCACCCCCCCGGCACTTACCTGCCTTCATCAGAAAACACCCCAGCAGCCCCAGGGCCAGGCCGGCCACGAGGGCAAATCCCACAGTGGATCTTGGAAAACCGGTGCAGCAGTCAGGATCTGAGAGGAAAGAAGGGGGTTAGGCCAGGCCACAGGAGCCCAGGAGCTGATGCACGTGTGAGAGTAGCTGTAACTAATGTGAGACACTGTGCCCAGGGAAACCTGCCTCTTGCCCTGTGGCACAATGTGGTCCTGCAGATGCCTCCCCCAGCGTCTCTCCTTGGGTCTAACCAGTCCTTTCTCTACCGGCAGGACACACAAACTACGGGCTTCCCTTCCGTGGGTGGTGTCACTGATTATCTCTCTGTCAATGCACCAGATTAGCCCATCCCAGCTTCTGCCTTGATTCAGGGTCACTCAGGACAAGTTCAAGCCTTGGGCAGCCAGGCCTGGATTAATGCAGGGGCTTTAGGGGCTACAGCCCAGGGCCCAAGACTAAAGGGGCCTCCTGCAAAAATAAATCTCCAGGCCGCTATAAGTGCAGCAGTGCTCAGGCAGGCTGCTGGAAAGCTGTGTCCCTTGACAGCAGGGGAGGCAGCTCCATGCCCTGCCCCATCCTCAGCACCATCTCCGCACCACCCATTTGCTGGAAACCAGCTAATGTGAACCTCAGGGGGTGGAGCTTGTGAGCTGGGGAAGTGCACAAAGACCCGCTGTCCCTCTCCCCCGCATGGGGGCACCAGCCACAGCTTGCAGGCAGCCTGCCTGAGACCTTCTGCGCTGCTGGCTGGGAGCCACCTCTGCCAACTGCCTCCTGCACCTCGAACCTCCTCCTGCTCCCCAGCCCCAGGTCAGAATCCCCCCTGCACCAACCTCTCCCCCAGAACGAAATGAACACGCCAGCTGTTCTAAGAAGGAGGCTATTTTTACCGAACTCTAATCGACATGGGTTTGAGACCAAAATGTAACCACAGAGCAGCTTTATGTTAGTTAAAAGGCAAGTGTGGTAAAGTGTTAATGTGACCATTTTGTCGGAAGTTAGGAAAAGGGGTTGTATACCGGGGCCCCACAAAGCTTATTAGCCCCAGGCTATTACGAAACAGAGCCCCTAGTATTGGGACGGTTTTTGATAACATCTGGATTGCTGGTCATTCCACATCCACTCACCCCTCCCCTTTTGGCCCTCTGGAGGCTTCTCTTTTATCCCAAGACCTGTGCAGATGTAGGCACACAGCTGACCGGGCACAGGGCTGGGATAACGCTCCCCACCGGGGGAAAAGGGCAGAGCTGGCTCTTCCTGGTGCCTTGTCAAGGAACCAGTGGCCCTGGGACAAGTTCTCCCCACTGAGAGTGGTGGATGCTCTCCTCTGACCTCAGAACAGGGTCCCCCTTCCCTATAGGGAAATCCGCCAACATTGAGCGAATGCGTTTACCTGGGGGCGAAGGCTCTCTGCCGGAGCTGTCACCCCCAGGAGGGCTGGGACCATCTGTGGGGCAGACAGACAGCAATCACATACCTCCCCAAACAGCCAGAACCGCGACTGCCAGTGAAACACGAGTGACTGGCTCTAGGAGCATCCCTTTGCGGCGTGGGAACATGCGAATAGCCAAAAAAGGAGTTGCTCAAGCAAGGCAGTATGGTCTAATGGCTAGAGCACTGGGTGCGAATTTAGGAGATATTGGTCCTCAACCCACCTCTGTGGTAGGGTGCCTCAGTTTCCCCCTCTATACAGCAGGGATAATGATGCCTTGCTGAGGAGGCCAGCAGAGGGAGCTACTTTCCCAAGGGGATCAGTGTTGGGTTCAAATTCACTGCAATCCTGAATGCAGGGCAGTGACATGTAGTGATCCAACACTTATTGTGGGAGGAAACGGCAGCAGAATTGCACTGAGCATGCCCCGGGTCACTTCTCAGGACCTCACCCACTGATGCCATTCCACGAGGAGTAACGGTAGTTCGAACTAGGAAGCCTAGTTCGAACTACCTAGTTTGTGCCCCGTGTAGCCGCGCGGCACGGGGTTCGAACCAGCGGGGTTTTAAAAATGGCGGCGCCCCGCTTATGCAAATGAAGCCCGGGAAATTCAAATCCCGGGCTTCATTTGCAAGTGCGGTATGCCTACATTACCCTCCTAGTTCGAACTGGGAGGGTAGTGTAGACATACCCTAACCAAGTAGTTTCGCATTTAGCACCATTCCCTGCACTGCGTGTGCCCAGAGTGGTTTTCAAATGGTCAAAGCCTCCTTAGTTCACCCCCATGTGTTCTGAGCTTCAGGCAGAGCCTGTGCAGAAATTGATGACGATGCACGTGCCAGATCTCCCGTTTAAGGATTGGTCCATGTTTTGAACAGGCCAGCTCTGTGCTTCCCCTTCCCAATACCCTGACAGGGCAGGTGGAATTGGCTCATCTCAACTGACTCTGAGCTGTTCAAGTTCACACAAAAGATGGAAGTTCAGAGACTTTTACTCCAGCTGCCTCTGCTGCACCCACTGCTCCCATGCTGCCTGCCTGTCCTCATGTGATAAGGTTTTGCAGCTTGTTATGAACTTTAAATTTCATTTGCCATTTTGTTGCCCAGTCACTTAGGCTATGTCTAGACTGCAGGCTTCTTTCGAAAGAGGCTCTTTCGAAAGATGCTTTCGAAAGAGCCTCTTTCGAAAGAAGGCGTTCTTCCTCGTGAAACGAGGTTTACCGCCATCGAAAGAAAAGCCGCGTTCTTTCGAAATTATTTCGAAAGAACGCGGCTTGAGTCTGGACGCAGGGGAAGTTTTTTCGGGAAAAGTAGCCTTTTCCCGAAAAAACTTCCCCTGCGTCCAGACTCAAGCCGCGTTCTTTCGAAATTATTTCGAAAGAACGCGGCTTGAGTCTGGACGCAGGGGAAGTTTTTTCGGGAAAAGGCTACTTTTCCCGAAAAATCCCCTGAGTCTGGACACAGCCTTAGTTTGGTGAGGTCTTTTTGAAGCTCTTCACAGTCTGCTTCTGTCTTAACTATCTTGAGCAGTTTAGTATCCCGACATACAGAACTGTGAGGTGAAAAGGGCAGCGATTACCAGTGATACAGGAGTGACTGTCTCTGGCACCATCACAAGTGACTGTCTCAGGGTGGAACGTTACAAAACCGCTGTGTGATACTGGGGAGAGAAACACACACAGGGCTGGCTCTGCTCTCCCAGAGATCCATAAAACCTTTGTACTGAACTGTCTGGTCCCGGGACTGTGATATTCCTGCTCTGAATCATAAATAGATGCACAGACATTGAAGCCCAGAAAGGGATTGTTCTGATGCTCTGGGTTGAACTGCTGCATAACAGAAACCCATCTTGTATCTCCAGCCCATAATGTTGGGACTGGTCCTGCCTTGGGCAGGGGGCTGGTCTTGATGACCTCCTAAGCTCTCTTCCAGCTCTATGACTCTATGGCTTTGTCTAGATTGGCAAGTTTTTCCGCAAAATCATCTGCTTTTGCGGAAAAACTTGCCAGCTGTCTATATTGGCCGCTTGAATTTCCGCAAAAGCACTGACAATCTCATGTAAGCTTGTCAGCGCTTTTGCGGAAATACTACGCTGCTCCCATTCGGGCAAAAGTCTTTTTCCGAAAAACTTTTGCACAAAAGGGCCAGTGTAGATAGCAGAGATTTCTTTTCCACAAAAAAGCCCCGATCATGAAAATGGTGATTGGGGCTTTTTTGCGGAAAAGCGCGTCTAGATTGGCCATGGACGCTTTTCCACAAAAAGTGCTTTTGC